TTTAACTAAGAAACTAATATTATCCTTGTGCTAAAGTAAGGTTGGATTAGCTTAAATGACAAATATATTCTAATTTTCGGAAGTGTTAACAACTGGCATGTAAAAATTCCTGATTTGAAATAGTTTACACCTATGTCAACTATTAGTACCGCAGGTAATTTTAAAATGCCAATTGTTGACATTTTCTGACTACTTTATTTTTTATTTGTAGAGGCCTAATTATAATATTGTTTTAGACTAAACATAAACAAAAAAATCAAATAAAATATTCGACGAACAGCAGCTACAAAGGGCTCTTGTTGAAATTAAAAATAGAGAGTCAACAAAATCTGTAGCTAAAAAATATGGGATTCCCAGAACAACGCTTCTCTTTAGATTAAGTTCGAAATTTACTAAGATTAGACACGGCCCTCAAACATATCTAAGTGATGAAGAGGAAAAACAATTGTGTGACTGGATTGTGGAAAGTCAGAGAAAAGGTTTTCCTTAACGAAAAGTAGACGTTCAACTTTCAGTCAAGCAATTTTAGTCCATTTAAAATAACGGTAAAAGGTCGAGAAACGCCGCACTTGACGAGACCACTTGTTCCCTACATATTTTGAGGCGCTGATTACAAAACTGAGGGTTTAAACTGGCAGCAATGGTTGGAACACCCCTAAAATTGCAAAAAAACACCCCTAACTAGGGGTGTTTTTCGACTGTACTTGTTATTTTGCAAACTGAGCCACCCGAAAAACATATAAGATGACTTAGTTCGCGAAACACCGTGACTGGTCATTTTTTCAGAAAATTCACCCCTTGGGAGGGGTGTTTCTGGCATGTGGGGGGTGTCATACAAATTTTCCTGTCTCGACACCCCGATTTTCGAAATCAGCGACCCAAAAAACATATGAGATGAGTTAGTTTGCAAAACAACAAGTATAGTCGAAAAACACCCCTATGTAGGAGTGTTTTTTGCAATTTTAGGGGTGGTTCAACCATTGCTGCAAGTTTTAACCCCGATTTTCGTAATCTGCGCCCCAAAATACGTAGGGGACAAGTGGTCTCGTCAAGTGTGGCGTTTCTCGACCTTTTACCGTTATTTTAAACGGACTGTTTATGGGCGCTGCTAAAAGACCTAACCCCTTTAGAGATAATATGCCAGGTATTTTCTTAACAGTAATTGCTACTTTTACTTTGGTCTTAACTTTATAGAAAACTGATTTTTTATTTTAGATCATTGGTAAAGATCATTTTTAAGTCGTCACCCTATTTTGACTCATCGCACTCCTGAGTCTGTAACAGGAGCCTCATCCAATGTTTCAAAGAATGTGGTTTTCAGGACAAGTCAAAAGGCTATCTTTCTATTTTAGACGATCCAAGCAGGGTTTACAATGGTGATGAAACTTGTTTTTTATTTTGTCCCAAATTCGGAAAAGTTATTGCTCCAAAAGCTTCAAAAAATATTTATGAAGTAGACAGGGGACAGGCCAAGCAAAATTTGAAAGTTATGTTCAGTTTTTCTGCGTCTGATACCATAACTTCTCCACTTATATTTCCCATTAAAAGACTCAGCAAACTTCTAGCAAACAGCGTTCCGGACAACTGGGGTATTGCTTCTACAGGAAACGGTAGTTTTTATAGACTACATTAAAGAAATATTTTATAAATCCCTTGTTAAGCAAAACGTAAAATTTCTCATCATACTGTTTGTAGATGGTCACAAAACTCATCTAACGTATGAGCTTAGCAAAGTTTGTACAGATTTACAAATAATTTTAATAGCATTATACCCCAAAGCCACCCGCATTCTCCAACCGGCAGACGTAGCGTGTTTTAAACCTCTGAAGACCTTTTGGAAAAATGCCGTTCTTCAGTGGAGAAGAGAAAATCGTTATTGTTAACTAGGAAAACAACATTTCGCACCAATTCTATGCTATCGATTTTTCTAAATGTCTGGGCAAAATTTTTTCTAAATCTGATGTTGATTCATCTGCTGTTCATAACACTTCAGCAATAAATTATGTACAATTTTGTAATATATTAGGTAAAAAGTCAATCCAAGAACTTAAGAAGGGAGAGACAGATGTTAGACATGACTGTTCCTACTTTGACATTTTAAAAAGTATTTATTCCGAGTTAAAAACACCAACCAATTTAGACAATAGCCCTGTTGAAATAGATATTGTGGAAGTGGACAAACACATTCAATTCGCAGAAGATGAACTAGATACTATAGAAGTGAACGAACACATTAGTTTCTCAGAAGATGAATTATTGGCCATGCCAATAATTTTTGAGGAAGAAAAATACATTAACACTGACAATGAATCAGCAAAATTACTTGATAGAAAAAATCTTACTAGAAAAATAAAGAATAAAGAAAATACGACCATAACCACAATAGAAAGTTTGAAAGATGGAAATAATTATGGTAGTGATGATGAAGAAAAAATAATTATCATTCAAGATATCACATTAAACGTAAATTCCAAACTAACACTGGACTCAAAGTTTAAAGCAAAAGAAGATGGAATAAGAGAAGGAATCTGTAAGGATATCATATTGGATGAAACAGAGATTGACCAGAATTTATCTAATTTACTTATCCCGGATAATATGGGTATGGATGATATCATGCAAAAAATGGATAAAACAAAAACTAATAAAACAACAAATAATTTAAAGAAAAAAAAAAAAAAAGATACTAAAAATTATTTGGAGCGACTAGGAAAAAGAAATTCTGAAAAAGTATCAGCTAAAACATAAGAAGAAAAATATAAATTTAAAAAAAGTTAATTTAAAAGAGGTTACAACGACTTAACATCAACAAAGGATACACCAGAAGGATTAGATAATCCTACTTCCTTAAGTAAAGGCAATAAAAAAAGAAAAGCACTAGATCAGCTCGAGAACTTTTCTATAAAAACCAAACAAGGAAAAAATAATCAAGAAACCGGGGAAATAATCGAAACTAAAAAGATTTCTGAAACAAAATTTGACAAAAATACAACAAATACCATTAAAAATCAGAAGATCGCTTGAAGAAATCTATTTTTTGATGAATCTGAAAAGGATGAAGAACTTAAACCCACAACGAATCCAACAATTAATGAGGATTTGCCAAAAAACAACACTATCGTGAAACAAGGATTGTGTTTCACTTGTACATATAACATTAATGCAGTGGCTCTTGGAATAAAATGTACAACATGCAACAGAAGTTACCATGTTAAATGTTTACAAAAGCACCAAATGTATAAAGAATTTTTTGTTTGTAAACGCTGCCAATGTTTAAAAAAATAAGAATAGAAAAATGTGTGTGTATCGTATGCAAAAAAAAACAGAAAGTTCTAAAAGAACATTATTTATTCATAATTAGTACCAGCATGTAATAATTACTCTTCCAAGTTCTCATAGGTTGCGCCTTGCCTCACTATACCAAAACTTTTTGATAGCGTTAAAAAATTAAATAACCGCTACTCATAGCTTTGGTAGTATAATTTGTAGCAAACATTTTAACACCAATTCCGTTCTACATTGAGTGTCTGGAATAATGATTTCTTTTGCACTCGATACCTAATAAAAAACGAGGGTCGGTTTTTAACACATTACTATATTTTTGTACTTTAATTTAGTTCTAACTTTTACATTTTTATTACATGATGTATTTTGGGATTTGTTTAATGTTCGGTTTATGTTATTATTTCTATTTAATAAATAATCATGCAATAATACGGAGCTGTATATTTTTTATTACCTAAGTGTTTAATTACTAGCCCTATTAGAACGGTGTCAATGATTAGGCGTCAATTTTTAGGTGTCAACAATTGGAGTTTAGGTGTCAATAACTGGAAAATGGACCTTTATTGGAACTTTTTTAGTTTTTAAATATTTCCCATCACAAATTTTCTGTTCCAGATTAAATATTAATATCACTAGATAGAAAGAAACTATATAGAGTATGTCCCCCTAAGTTGGAATCATATGGAAAACATTTTTATTATTAATTTTAGCAAAAAAAGTTATTCTTCATAAAAAGTTCTGTATTATCTAAAACTTAGAATACAATCATCAAATATCAAATTTTTTCAGTGGTATACGAGGTTTGTGAAAAAATATGAGTTTTACTCAAGAGTAAAGTACCTTTATTCTTTATACGACTGATAAAATTTGATATCTGATGGTTGTATTTTAGGTTTTAGACCATGCTCGACTTTTTATAAAGAATAACTTTTTTCCCAATATTAATAGTAAAAGAGATTTTCATATGCCGCCAATTTACGTAGACAGTTGGTGACATAGGAAATCTTTTTTATTACTAATTATAGGAAAAAACGTTGTTCTTTATAAAAAGTCGAGCATGGTCTAAAACCTAAAATACAACTATCAAATATCAAATTTATCAGTCGTATAAAGACTTTATTTTTGAGTAAAACTCATATTTTTTGACAAAACTCGTATACCACTGAAAAAATTTGATATTTGATGACTGTATTCTAGGTTTTAAATAATGCAGAACTTTTTATGAAGAATAACTTTTTTTCCTAAAATTAATAATAAAAAAGTTTTCTATATGATTCTAACTTAGGGGGACATACTGTATATGGTAACTTATTATACAATTTTGGGTTATACTTAAGAATCTTTGCTTAGAGTGTCAACAATTGGGTGGTTTACCCTACGTATCAATGATTAGTTCTTTTTCAATATAATCATAATTTTTTCCTGTGATCTCTATTGTAAATTCGAATTATTGTGTAATTTTCAAACTAAGGAAATGATGACTTTATAAGATATTACTTAGACAATCAACAAGTATCTACTAGTCTCAATATTTATTTTCTTATACTTATGCTAAGAAAAATTCACACATGTGTGAGATTACAATTCTTCTCTGTTAAATGACAATTTAGATTTAATCCAGAGATATCTTAAGTGATCACGGTTATGACTCGTATATCTGTCTTTCCCGGTAATTTTTTGTGGATCACACATTATATTAACCTAATATTTTTTAGACGCCACCAGCTCTGCCGCCAAAAAATCAACGAAGACCTCCCCCACCGTTGATAGTTCCTAAAAGTTTATCAGTATCTTCGAAGTTGTCTTCTTCATCATCATCTTCTTCCGTAAAATCGGAAAGAGATAAAAGTATTATTAAAGAAAAAGTAAGCAATTCTCCGAATTTGATAGATTTGGCCCATGCTGATGATAGTGGCGATAGCGTGAGAGTCAGTATTTTACAAGAATTCGATCCGTTATCGGAGTCGTTTTATAGCTCTGTGAATGCCAGAGCTATTAGTCCGGATTGTTCAGGTAAGAACAGTTTTTTTTACATTTTGAGTTTACAGAAGCGTTTTTAATTATATATTATGCAGCATACTTTTCGTTTTGTCCCTATCAGTCATTTCTCAATGTCTGCGGCAATGGAATCACCTTGCGCTCGTTCCAGGGACGTACTTAGCTTTTCTTTCTGGAGGTATTATGTATGGTATTATGTAAAATGTAATATAATCTAGTATAATTTGGGTACAATTATAATACATTTAGCTTAGTAATAATGGCATATCCCTAAGTCTTTTAGTAAATACAAGTGAAGTTGATATGTATAAATTTCTCTTTTTTTTTTTAATGTGAGATTTTGCTATTTTTCTTAGTCCGTCTGATGCGAAATTTTTCCACCTATCCCATGCATTAAGGTTTATGTGGACCTCCGGAAAAAGCCTACTCTTTCAAAATTTTTGAAAAAATTTGTGAATGTAAATACAACCTTTAGTATTATTTTACCAAAATTTGATTTGGTTTCTATCATTTGTTCACAAGAAAAATCGGAAAATTTACTTTTTTACAAGTATAAAACAAAGAAACTAAAATATCAAGAGAGATCATTATTTCATAAAATAAATTAGTTTTGGATAACCTTCACCTGGTCTCGTGGGGGTACGTACGTACATACCCCATGCTCTTTCTTGTCGATTTTTGATATCTAAATCTTCAAAATCGAAACTCGTAATGACATCTACCGATAGTCAGAGGATATACTTTTATACCTTTAGCAGTGGGATAGCGCTCTTAAAATAAATACCTTTTTTTAAAGACTCATGAAAACAATTATTATTCTTTTATAGTGATGTAACAGAAGAAGACACAGCTAAAATTTCAGCCCTTTTAATCGAAAAACAAAAAAGTTATGATTTTTTTTTTGTAAGAAACGTATTTTTTCAAGTTTTCCAGTTTTTAGGATTTTTTATGAACGCTGATCTTTATTTTTTCAACTCGGACTATTCTACAGTTTAAAGTGGTATCTAAAGAGGGTCTCTGAATTTTTTTGAGACAAAATAATCAATATTTCAATTTTTACAAGGATTTTTATCACTGGGGTTCGTACGTACCCCACGAGTCTCAGGATGACCATGCCAGGTGAAGGTTAAGAAACTTACATACATTTTTTGAAAATGTTTACTTGCAGAAATGACGTAATTGAAGAATATATATATTTTATTCGCAAAAATTAGATTTAAACTAAAAAACACGCTTTTATAATACATCGAACTAAAAAGTGAAAAATAAATATAGTTTAAAAAAACTAAAAAACACGCTTTTAGGGCATATCAAACCAAAAAGTTAAAAATAATTTTTCAAATAAGCTTAAAACAATAATAAATGGAAAATACTAGTATTATTGTGAAAAAATCGTGGGGCGCTTTGTCCATATTTCTCGTACATCGAGCGCCCGACGATTTTTTCACAATAATAGTAGTATTTTCCATTTATTTAAAATAAATACTTTATAGAGAAGTCATATTATTTTGTAAGCGCTTATTACTTAATTTTTAGACCTGATGATGGCCTAAGCCCGAAACCGGTTCCAAAAATGTATACCTAAGATGTACATTGAATCATTTGGAAGTTGCATTTTCTGAGCTTTTGTTTACGTTCTTTCTTTTTTTTTCCCTTTCTGTCTCTTTTTTTCTTTCTCTTCTCACCTTTAAAATTATGGACAGGTTTGAATGAAATTACTTAATATTCATTTTATTATTAAATAGTACCATAGCGCGCGAACGTATCCTACAGTTTTTTTTATTTTAATTTTTTGACTGCGCCTTCGCCAAACCACACAGATTATATTATGTCCTAATTTTATATCATATTTTAAGGATAATACGCTCACGCTAAATAATTTTTATTTACTACTGTCAGTAAAGTTCATAGTTGGGAATAGTCCAGAGGGGACCAGTAGAAGACTTAACAAAAGCTCGTCAGGTTATATCCATCTCTTAGCTGGATCGCTTGGACCATCCGCGCTCATCACCTCACTTCCCACGGCTTACAATATAAACAAATAAAACAAAATTATATTGAAGTTTGGCAACGCTCTCGTATCGAATTACGAAGATCTCCCGCGTAATCTATTATTGCGCTAGTAGTCTCTTTTGGCGGCGATATAAACTAACGAAATATTATTGTATCGCAGATAGAACCCTGTAACTTTAATAAATTGTGTGATTCGATAGGTAGAGCCATCTCTAGAGTCAGAAACGAGTGAGGAGGTAGGTCCATATAAACCTTAAAAAATTAAAAAAAAAAATCGTATTTTTTTGAGATACCGTTTTTTGGCTGACAGTAGTAGAGCATATCTAAATTTCAAAAACTTTGTAGGTCATTTTTCCAAAAGAAAATCGCATCGTATCTGACGCACGGCAACAACGTTCGTCATAAGATCCGTACACGTTGTGTTATTTGACTTCTTAACTACATTTTTGATCACTTTTGAGATAATTGTACCAGTGTATTTCCTGGCAACATGTACATATATGAATTCAAAAACTTACATCATCTATGAATTTTAATTTGACATTTTTAAAAAAGCTTAGCAAAACTCAGATCATAAATAGTATATTATGCAACGATCATGTAATGATGGTTATTAATACACGAGCATTAACCGGGATACGAAACGAGCCAAAGGCGAGTTTCGTATGGTTTATGCGAGTGTTTTAATAACCATTACATGAGAGTTGCATACGCTATTTTTTCTACACCCGATAAATAATCAAGACCTATAAATATTATATTTATATTGGTATTGAACACAATAACAGTAATTACTCGTATTTCTATAAAAAATTCTACAAAATTGTAATTAATGGTATTACTTCAGGTATTGGTATTTCCCTAGATTTTTGCGGTAAAATATTTTGTACTGTATTTTCTGCTTTCTCCGATATGTGTGGAGGAGTCTTCTATATCGCTAATATCAGACATTTTAATATTATAATTATCGAAGTTTAGCTACCTACGAAAATTTAATACGTTTTGACAACTAAAATAATTACATAGGAACCTAGGACAAACGTCAAACAGCATGCTTGATTGAAAAATTGTAGGTTTCTATTGATTAAAAATCTGTATCGTAATGAAAAATCTGTATCATAATGGGTATCATTATGAAACGGATTATGGGCATATAAGTGCATTATTATAATACGGGTGTAGAAAAAATCAATTTTTCTTGAAATTACTATTTCCATAGATATGTTCATTTCAATTAACAAAGCAGTAACATCTCAGTATGAAACAAAATATAGTGCCCAAGACATTGATTTTTTTTTATATAATTAACGTTATTTTACAGTCGATGATACCATGTCAATTTGTAATAGTGTGTATGAAGAATATGATCCTTATGATTTTATATACACCGGCTCTGGAAATAACAGTTTATCAGATCCAATTTATGCTACCGTAAATAAACCCGATAATACACCAATGTCGCCTGGATTGTCTCGGATGTCCACCATAGATAGGAGAAGCTTTAAATGCGTTAAAGTAAGACATAAACAACGATCTTTATGTTTTCAAACAAATTTCTTTCTGTAGTGATATAGATTTTTTTTACAGTCTGTTACTCAAGAACTACTTAACATTTTTATTTGAAAATTTGGAAATGTCAATGGGACCTTAGGTACTATAATCTTAGTTATACCTGAGATTAGTGACGTCATCGTATTGAAAAAATTAAATGATAAGTGGGATGAAAGTTAGCTCAAATCAAAGGGTTTTTTTGTTTTAATTCTACATTCAATGATGTATCGCAGTGAGGGTATTAATCTGGATAATTATGCTAAATTTTCATTCACGTATCTTTTATTTAAAGAAATATCTGTGGCGACATCATAGCACCACATAGTCTTACCTTTAGTTTTGACTTTTACGTCATTTTAGTTTAAGGCTTCTTAGTCTCAGATAAACAAATGAATAATAGATAAGTAACGGTCTGGATGTGTTTGAAGCTAATATGAACCGTTTTATCTATTACTTTCTCTTTTTTCTTGGTCTTTGATGTGATTCGTCTATTTTAAATAGCAGCGCCATTTACTCACAACTGTCAACAAGCATTTGGGAACTGTCAGTTTTATTTGCACATTTTGTGTGATTTTATATTCCCAGGGCATATTTTTTAAAGTTTTTAGAGTGTCTAAAATGTTTATTTAACGATTTTTGTTAGTTGTAAGTCTAAAAATTATTATTCAATGTTTGTTTGCCCTGAAACAAATTTGGAGAAGTTCCACGTCGTTTCAAAGGTAAGTAAATAAAACACATGGGCGGTACACCTATATTGTAAAATATTATTAGTATTTTTTTAGGCAGGCTTCCTACAAACTGAAGCAATGGAAATTTGTATTCAAATCCTAGAATTATATAAGGTTGAAGTTGATAAAATTAACATAAATTGGAAATATAAAATATATTGGAAACATTTTATAATATTTTTGGTATGAATTCTGCTTGAAAAAATGAATTTAAAGCTGGAAGCAATTCCTATTTTATTCACTTCTCAACTTGGTCCGTCTTCAAGTAAGTTATAATAATATTATGTAATACAATACCTAATACAAATTATTCATACATTATAAACTTGGGAGATTAAATTTAAAAAATAAATGCTATATTGTATTCTCCTAGACAAAGTAAAATAAATCTTAGTGCTTTCTGGAAAGAAAACATTTTATGAAAATATAAACTACTCCAAAGAGTTTCTTGTATCTTAGTAATGAAATGAATTATACTTATAGAATGATTATGTTGTAAATATTTTATAATTCTTTTTAGGGAAAATTTACTTCCTAGTGAATGTAGTGAAAGACAGAGTCTAGAAGTGATTTATAATATGCACATACTGGATCAGAAAATTTAAATTGTTCCACCGACATTGCTCCAGAAGCTATAGAATAGGTTAATTCAATTTATAAAGAAGACATCTATAAAAATGCCCAAATTCAGAGACAATAGGTTATGCTAAAAATAATAGATACATTTAAAAATGCCCGTTTTTAAAAAAATATTTGTTACATATCATTTTGGAGATTATTAAAATATCTAAAATTCCAAAAACTTTAAAAAACATATTAAAAGTTTATAAATGAGAAGTGTGTTAATCTAGAACAAATCAAAGGGAGTTATTTTCTAACTTTCAGCTGTAAAAACGAAAGCGCCAAGCGGACTTCTCAACAAAGTTCGATCACCAAAACGACAAGCATGTGATTATGGTATTCTCTAATGCTAGACGATTTTGATATTCATATGTGATTTTAATTTTTGTTGTAATCTGTCATAATAATTATAAATCATAAATGCTGATTTGTCTAAATATCTAAAGTTAGTATTTGAATGTCATTTTGACATTATTACAATTATAAACTCAATTAGAATATATTAAGGCCAATTTCAGAATTGTAAGGAATCAAAAACAATAAACATACATTTGCTGACATTTTAATATTCAAGTCATAATATTTAGATATATATTTTAATGTTTGACTTATCTACTTCCGACGATAAACTTTTTTGAATGCGCTTTACTTTTTTCAAATAGGAACAGCACAACAAGTAGAGAATACCAAAACGTTTGTGCTTTACACTTTTGCTAGTTGTTGCGTTTATGAAGGGAGCTGAGTGCTTTCAAAAATGGTTAGACAATAAGCCCCCGTTTTAATTCAGCGAAGTAGAAGAAGGTTTCAGTCTAGAATATCTGTCAATATTCGCTTCTAACATTTATTTAAGAGACCAAAAATTACATGAGTGAAAATGCATCAGAAGCAGTTGAGGTACCTATGTATCTAGTATTAAAATAAAAATAATTCAATTTGGTGACATACATTTAAATATAATATGTAGCCCTTGCACAACTTCGATTCCTATGGGATTTCCATTATATTTCTTTGAAAATAGACACTCCACTAACCAATTTTATCCTTTTTTTTATTTATAATTACCACTTTTGATACTTTTATATTGTATTTTTTTTTATTAATTTTATATTGAATTTTTATAATTTATTTCTTGTAGTTTTTTAATTTGCGTTAATTGTATGTTAATACATTTTTGGATGAAGCTTAATTGAGTCATATATAAAACATTTTTATCACACACAAGTTGTACATTGACAAAATTTAATTTATGTGATTTATTAGATGTATACAGGAGGTTTTTCAGAAATTATACATACCATGTAGGAAAAAACTAGCTAGATACTGGCGTCAAATATCTGGAATTATTAATAATTGCTCTCGTGAAAAATGAATGCATGATACGGATTTTCTATTCTTACATAAGTTGTTAAATGGATGTAATATTACTTGCCAGAAGTTACATGGCTTCGGCCGTAAATTTCTGATTCGGCCGTAAAAGATCAACTCGATACTTACAGCCTTTGGTACACAAATATCTATTTTAATTCTATAAATATCATTAAAAATTTATGAAAAATGTATTTCTCATCTATAAAATTGTTATTTATGATAAAGAAACATGTTAGTTTATAAGAACAAAAATAAAACCTGAATCGATACCAAATCAGTGAAAATGTTGCTAGAGTTGGGGACGCTTTTATACAAAATTGTAATGTTACTATTTTACTAATAAAGCTACAGTTAATTTATCTTAGCATTTTATTTAAATATAAATATATTATCCGAATAAAATTAATGACGTTAGTCAAGGTTTAAAGGCCTCGTCACTTCAACCTTTTTTTTATGCTTCTAGTTTATATGTTTGTGAAAAGAGATCTATTGTTAATTAACAGTCTCCATTAGATCTTTCTTGGAACAAGATTACAGACTATATTAAGTTTCAACAAATTTATAGATTGGTGTCTATCCATTATAAATTACTTTCAAAGCACATAATATGTTTGTTTATTCTTAAGAAATGATAAAATCTATTACATATCATTTTTTTTTATATTTTTAAAAATAAGTAACTGCCTTAATTCCTATTTTTTGACATCCCTCGTATATGCTAAAAAAAATTAAATTTATCACTTCAAGTGGTAAGAATGCTACCTTTAGGTATATAAGGGAAAAGTAAATTGGATTTTTTTTATTGTTGAGTTTCAGAAATATTAATTTCTCCTGGTTTTAAAATAAGATGAAATGATTAAAACGGACCTGCAAAGGCACTTTGTGCACCAATCTCACCAGTACTCCTGTGACCTAATGGGTAAATTCAGTTTGGCTTACTTTTTTCAAAAGAGATTGTTGTTCCATTTTAATTACACAGTTTACTGATATCTACCTATAAACAATATTAACAGTGTAATTATTTGAATTATAAGTATCATTTATTACATTTGAATAAAAAATAGAATTTAATTTTTGTAAAATGAAATTTTATACATGAGTTGCATTGTTCTTTAAATTTGTTATTGACAAAAGAATGCTTTGGGTTCTGATGAAAAAACTATTTGATACGCCCATGGGGACCACGGCTGTCAAAAGTTCGTAGATACTGACTTCAAACAAAGTCTATGTAAAATTGCGCCCGTAACACATCTATATTTCATTTGTTTATCTGAGTTCTTAGTCAGTTTTATTTGAGGTTAGTCAAGTGTCATCGCTGCTTAGCAAACTATTTCCATGTGTTCTACAAGGTTAAAATGAACGATATATTTGTAATAAAATTTAACTTTCACAAAGAACACACCTGGCTCCCCTACCTTCACTATCAAACTCAAAAACAAAAAGACATTTGCAGATGTGTAATTGGAACTTAGGGTAGGAAATATAACAACAATACATTTCGATTAATTTAAACAGTAGTAGAATTCGTGCTAGAGAAATAGAGATCATCAATAACGGGAAAGGTATATTCTCAAATAAAAATGTGAAGTAGTTCTTGACTAACAGCATGTAAAAAATATGTTTTTCTATTAAGTAAATAGATTTATAATAGTAGTGAAAGTACTGCTGGTAGATTAATTTGAAATTGTGTCATTAGAATTCTATTATAAGTATCATAAAAATTCTAACAAGATATATTTTTTAGAGGAATCTTTTGAATATCATTGACGAAATTAATAATAGATCGGTGACTAAGGATCCGGATTTACAAACATTTTACAGTATGGTGTACAACATAAGGAGTAAGTTTTTTTTTATTCATCATAGTTCTTGTTCTTTCTTAATTTATGTCTAAATATTCAATCTTGAATTAAGAATAGTTATATACGGCGTAATCAAAAGTTGAAGTAATAAAAATAATTGAATTCTTCACTTCTATATATATATATATATATATATATATATATATATATATATATATAAAAAATCATTTTCAGATTAAATTAATAAAATATCACCGATATATTAAAAATTCGCAAAATCGATCTTATTCATATGTATAATAAAGTATTATTTTCAGAACAATACAAATATAACGATCCTGATACAAATATGGGTTTAGTTATCAGCCCAATGGTAACTTATCAGTACAGTGATGGCTTAAGTATAAAATTACAGGTCCACCCAGATTTTGAAGGTGCTGATTTCAATCAACCCATTAGTTTCACATGTGACGGTTAGTATTTTTCTAACTTTAATTTTTAAATGGTGTATTTTTTAAAATAATAAGGATAGCTGCAAAAACTACAAAATATGGATCATTTCCTTGTAATGTTTTTTGAAGAAATGTATATTTTATGAAAATTGTTATATTTTGAATTTTTTTTAGTGAACTCAAGCGTAGAACATGTAACTCTACAATTGACTTATGGACTTGACGCGCCATCTACCACTCAATATACCCTTAAAGTTTGGGGTAGTAATGAATATTTAGTACCGACAACATTTCTTAGTGATTACGAATACGTTCATGATTGTATCAAATTGGATGAGGATGTCATTTTAATTTTAATTCCAGATTCTAAAAAGGATAAATCGTTTGCTAGAACGGTACGTAAAAAGTATCAACTTAGGATTCACCCTGTATAAAATTTCCAATAATTAATTATTATTATGAAATTTTCTCTGGAGAAAATATAAATTTTCCTGAGAAATATTCAAAGAACGTTTTTTTGTATTACACTTTTTTTTATCGACCTTTATTTTTGTTCTACACTTTTTTTTGATCGACGTTTATTTTTGCTCTTCACTTGTTTTTGTTCAACGCCTGCCCTAAAAAAATGATTTTGAAGTGATTTCGGGATTTCCGTGATGATTTCGGAAATTTCGAAAAAATGTGTAGCGTGAAAACGTACCAGTATTTCGTCAGTGGTTCACCTCTTGAAAATATTACAGCAAACAATTGTATTTGTTAAATTATGTTTGGATTCTGTTGCAATAGCCGTTGTTACACCTGTTTACAAATTTTACAGTATTTGATCCCAATGTATACTTATTATCTTTATAGATTGCAGACGATAATGATGACGAAACTTTAAAGTTCGAAAACATAATACCAAATGATGTGGTAGTGAGGATTACGTACGAAAAACTAAAAATATTATTAGGTAAACATTATTTTGCTATTAAAATGATATAATGAACTTTTTTAACGACATATTTAATTTCAGAAACCGTTGAAAATGAAATGAAAAAACTGGAAGACGCAGCTCAGCAGTTGGAACGAAGTACTAATCCTTCGGTTATGCCGGCAGTTCAACCTTTGAACGTCATTCAGTCTGTTAAATATATAGTCAATTTAATGGGGGATTTGTGTACTATTGATATAATGTATACTGTGGATGCTTTAGAGGAAGCTTGCCGAAATTTTGTACCGTTAAGTGTAAGGAATATTTAGATAATTTTATTTTATAATTACTTTTTTTATCTGTAGCCACCACCGATATTATTCTTTTCCAAGAAGTGTCATAGGTGATACATTTTATAACTCTTATTTGGGATATTTGTCCTTATTATATCGCAACTTTTTGTTCTGTCTCTTCCAGTAAGCCATGTTTATAGTTTGTTGTTCCAACTTTTCATTATTGATCTAACTATAGTCTGATAATAGACTTATCCTATGCTTGTGTTTACACAATGTTACTAATAAAACATATTTTTTTAATGGCTCTTTTTCCAACATATGCTCAATCTAATAAGCTAATAAAAGCAAGTTTTCTTGAGTGCAAAGTCATTAACACGTTTATTGTTAATAATAGTAGATAAAGCTTTGTCTAAAACCGATTATTTAATTAACATGTGCTATTTCCGGCATTGTGGATTGCTGTTAAATGTAACACATCGTTATCGATGAGGTGCTGGCTGTGTAGCTGGTGATTTCTTGTTTATGTTATTGAATTAAAATCCACATAGAACTGATGAACCCATTTTTGTTATTACAAATCCTTTATATTTTTAATATAACAACAGATTACAAATAACATTAATTATTAACAATATTTAGTTGACCGGTTCATAAAATTTTCACATTATGCCATTGTGTAATTTACATTTTTGTCAAAATGTCGGTCACGCTACGCTGGCCAGTTTATTGTATTGAGATGTCTTGAGTTCTTTCCAATCATGTAAAACTCTGATTTTAGAACAAACAAATACATATGGTCTTTCCGTTATATCGTCTGACCAATCATCTCTCACATGATTTCTTTGTGTCGCATTTTGATTTGCTAAAGAGTATAACGGTCTTTGTATCTCGTCGAGAGTGATGTAAGCGCATTGCCTATTTTAGAGTTACAGGTGTTAATTCTTAAAATTGAGCTGACCTTATAAATTTGGATTAATACAACATTTATGTTAAATATATTTTCAACATAAATATTTCAAAATATAAAAAAATTGAAATATATTTTAAAACCAATTCTCGAAAAGATTTAAACTTAGATTTTGGTTTCAGGGTACCTCCTTTTCAGAATCGGTTATCAACAACTGTAACAAAATTCGGTTTGCTGTTCAAAATCTGATTGAAATGTACTCTCAAGCATTTTGCGTCGATTTTGAGCTTAACAACACTTCGTCCAGTGAATGTAAGTATCTTGATTCGTTTATTCAATATGATATTTGAGTTTGTACAATGACGGTGTTGTGGTGCTGAAAATTTAAATGGTCCATTTAAACATGTTGAAATAGGCCACACAGTGGTTCGCAAACTTTTTCGAATCACGGCTCCTTTTTGAAGTAAGACTCCCGTGGCGCTCTACCCTAGGTAAAAGTATGACTAATCATACAAACAAATTGACAATGGTGATAGACATGTGTTAGTTGAAGGTAATTTAGAAATGAATAAAGAGCTTAACCTGCATTATAGTTCAGGAATTAATTATATTTATTATTTTTCGGGAATTACTCTGTTATGTGTATTTTTCTTTTCCTTATAAAGAAGCCAATAGAAATGAAACACGCGGTTTAAAAACGCAACATATTTTATTCACTCTAACTTGGAATTTGGAACATTAATTAATCTTGTACCATGATACCCTAGTTGTTTACAAGTTTAGTTAGTGACCTTTGTCAAATATACCTGTTTGTAAGTTACATAAGTTTAAAGCAATCCTTTCGCTAACAAGATGTGACGAAGTCACTAAATTTTCCTTTAATTTAATTATAAAAATGTTTAGTTTAAGTTAATTTCCATCTGTAAGCGTTTTTCTTAAAAATTCCCTTATTTCAACATTTGCGAGAGCTCCCGTATTTCAAAATATTTCATTATTTACTGAATTTATAATCCAGCTTTAAACATTTAAGATCAGGTAATTTATCTGGTAATTTTCCCAAATGTCAAAAGGACGTTTTTTTATACATCTGATTTGTAAATATTGGCTACAAACTTACAACAAACCGAATTAATCCGAGCGTAAATACTGTCGTTTTTTTTTTTCACTGGCCGCCCATCTGTGGAAAATATAAGCCGTTATCAGTAAAATTTAATTCTACCTCGAAGCCGACTGTCGCATTAACAAAATACAGTTCATCAAATTTCTAGAGGTGTTCGACGCCCAGACAGAGAACGCGCTACGTGTGACTAAGATAGCTATTGTACAGTCTGCTAAACAAGTTATTTTAAATAGTTTTTAATATTTTTAGGTAATTAAATTTTAAAAGTGTGGAATAGTTTAGGGATTAAATTGGTCTGATTGGACTTTCTTAGAACGTTTTTAAAAGCAGCTAAAGATAGTATGTAGAATTGAAAATAATTATTATGCCATAAAAGGTGTTTTGGAATTCCTTTTGAAATTGAGTCAGAAAATATAAATTTTATAGGATAGCGGAAAATACCTATAATTTTTTTGTAGGCCTTTGTAAATCGTGGAAATAGTTTATATTTTATTTCTACCTTATTAAGGAAAATGGTACCTATTATTAATAACGGTTGTTTCTGAAACATTACTAAAATTTTCGAAATTTTGTTTTTCTACAAAATAATAAACTATACTATTTAGAAAAAAATTTATTTCTCTTATAATTTTATAAAAAATAACAGGGGAATATTTACATTTCTTGATCTATTAAACAAAACGATAAATTATCTCGACGAATGACACCATGTTCTAGTACGGAAGCTAGCTTTACATTTTTCTTGGTGGTTTCATGGGTTTCATATCAATTTTTTGTAATTGTAGTTTACACGTACATATACCTCTTAACACTTGTTTGCTTTATTAAAAAAGTGTGTTGTTGTGATTTACGTCGAAATAAGTCAAAAACAACTTGAAACCCCATATAAAATCAAAAAGGAGAAACGGAAAAAAATTGAGCCTGTAAATGAACACAACTCAGAAACAAAAATAGCTATCTAATAATAAAAAAATAAAATTTGATTCTTGTGCAGCTTCATCTATATCATTAACTGTTTTTGGTTTTTTAATGGTTTTTCTTGGTGATGAAAATTCCGATATCTCACGGTTATCGATTCTTTTTTTTCTCTCCAGAAATGCGGACGACAGTGTTTTTAGATACTCCTGTGGCTGCAGCAACACGATCATTTACATTTTTAAATGGTATTGAAGGTGAATTAAAGTTTCCTTCTCTTCTCATAAACTCTATAACATTGGCTATTATTTCGCGAGATTGACTGTTAATCACGCGGCCTCTTAATTTGCTATTAAACTCCATACTTAGGTTCTATTAAACTGTAATGAGCAAAAAACACAAACGAAAATAAAAGAAATGTTTTAGCGAAATTTACATCTGACATTTACGTCTGAATGAAATAGTGAAATACTTGATGCGCAGAGTGTACTTTCATTGCGTAAATCCGTCGGGATGCCTGTCAGTAGTGCTTTCTCTGTCTAGCCGTCGAAAGCCTCTAGAAATTTGATGAACTGTATTTAGGATTTCTGATTTTATTCCTGCCACATTAAGCAAATTACTAATTTACGTTTATTTAGAATACCGTTGAATTACAGATAATTATTTTACTTTTCACAAGGAATTTCCGTACCACATATATACCGGGTGTGTTCTGAAAATTATTTTAAATTGTGGATTCCATTATTTATTTTTGTTATTTTATTCCGACGATTCCATTATACTGTTAAATGAGTTACAATTCCGCCATTACCGAAATAAGTTTAACCTCTTATTATTATTTAAACATTTATTATTTTAAATTGTGGATTTAATTATTTATTTTTCTTATGGTATTTTATTTTTGTTAAACATTCCGATGATTCAATTATACTGTTAATTGAGTTACAATTCCGCCATTACCGAAATATGTTAAACTTTTTTTAATCTCCTTATTTAATTTTTGTAAAATATTCTGAAGATTGAATTACACACTGCTAAGTAAGTAAGTAAGTAAGTAAGATTTCCCGAATTATTAAGAATATTTGTCTTACAACTTTATATTTATTATCTTGATTTTTGCTACTATTTTTGTGGGTATTTTGTTGTAAACGAAGACCGTTATTGTTTGGGTTTAATATTGCCCCACCGTTTACCGTTAATTGTAAATATATTATTTTATATTTCCTGTGTTTCTTTTAACTATACCTCTTTTATCTAGCTCGTTCAAAATCACCTTTAGGGCAAAGGTAATTACCGTTTAGTGAAGAGTATATTGCGTATTTCAAATACTATCCCATGAGTAAGTGATCGCCTGGAATTACTTACTCCACTGGGACTACTTTGAGTGCACTCGAGGGCCGCAGAGCAAACTGCGTTGTCAAAACTGGCACCCGAACAACCCTTGTTCGAGATAACAGCCTGGCACCATACACAACTTCCACTTTCACGCAAGTGAATTAAAAAGACGTGTCACAAAGTGATGGCAATTAACATAGAGCATCATCAGCCTTTTATTTTTTACAATTTCAAGCATGGCTTACAGCTGGATTTATAATTTCGAGTTCAACATAAACTAAGCAAAAAGTGCTTAGTCATAGTCATAAACTTCGGTCGTTGACGTTCGCGCTCAGTTCGCGTTCAGTTGACACTGAGAGATGATCAGCTTTTATGTTCACTGTTAGACTGCGAACATCGAGCCAATGAAAAACACGTATCTGATTATTTGACCACGCATGCGTCAACGCGATCCTAAAATGACATGGTGGGTTTGTTTTGGATACGAAATTATAACGAATTTATAATTACATTTTATAACCAACACCATTTACAAATATAATTAAAACAAAATCACAATGAAATATAATTTATTTTGTGGATTTTGAGGTTATGTTTTGTCAAATAAAATGTCAGGACCAACTCAAATTCGCAGTGATGAACGAACAGCTAATGACTTTATAAATTGGGTCCAGCGCGAACTCACCAAACTCCAACTGAACGAAGTTTATAAATTCAGCTTTAACCGTAAAAAATGTTTTGAGGAAATCTTACGTAAAGCGGTGGTACAATGAATTTGAACGGGAAAAATGATATCCTCTCTTCTAATGATTTTTGTTTGTAAAAATTGTGTTTGCAAACAGCAACTTTATAGCGCCCTCCGGCATGCTACAAGTGTATAAATTATTTCAGTGTATAAACAAAATGTGGTCGGAGTTCGGCTTTGAGAGTGTACCCTAAACCAAAATATTTAAAATAAACCATTCACATAATAATCTTTCTCTTTATAATTCAAATAAAAAGTAATTTATTTGAAATTTAATGAAAAATCATTTTTCCTTGCTGTTTTGTAGCTTGTCTTTTAAAAAATCAAACTACCGATATTATAAAAACTCTAACACTGGAAAATACTTTAAAAATAAAAATATAAACACAATTAAATAATAATAAAATAATAGATTTTTTAAAAAATTAATGTACGGACCACAGCAGAATATTTTCTGTCACCTCAGTTTTTCATTCTGTGACGTTACACCGCCATCCCTAGCAACCTAGTGGGGCCACCATTTAAGTTATGAAGCGTAGAGATAGTTTCATTCTACGAACGGTGTTACCAATCCACCTGTGTCATAATTTTTGTAGATGTATTGATCTGTCATTGATTGCAGCCGTGATGATGGGTCGCGGTTGAAATTTAAATAGAATTTTATAAACAAAATTGTAAAATAAAACTCTGTAGATACACAGCCTTTTATACAAAGTGCCGATAGATTAGGTACACTTAAGGGAAAAACGATTTATTTTTAGGTTTATCAAAAAATGTTTCATTTTGTTTTCCAAATATTTGCACCTACTTTCAATTTTTATGTCTAAACAATAAACGGAAAACATTTAAAAATGTAATTCAGGCGCGGCTCGTGAGTTATTGTAGAGGTAGGTCACATTGTGATGGATAGTGCCACAGACAAAGCCGCCCTTGGCCCGTACTGGAATTTTTTTAGAGGGTTGAGTACAAACTTTTTATTTTTGACTATTAAATAGAGCAAATAAAATATATATTCCTTGAGATATCCAAAAAAAGAACATTTTGAAAATTCATACATTAACACTAAAAACTTGAAACAACTTTAAGCCGAACCTTTTTTGTTTGGGTTTTTATTTTCACGGAACTATGATGTTTGATACTGCATAGGCCTAGGCGCTTTCGAGCACGTGTATTATCATAGATATATTGGCCGGTCGTCGACAATTACTTGTCTCTTTTCAACTCAAAGCGGGCATATATGCTGTTATATTTCTGTCTACTTGCATTTTTTCTTGTGGATTGCCATATAACCCATGAGGTCAATTAAAATACGGCCAAACTGGGCTAAGCGCGTAGTGGACAAGTATTAATTTTTATTAAACATTAGTAATCTTAGCACCATTGGTAATAATTGGCCAAATGACATTATGGAGAAACCGCGCCTGATGTCATTAACAAAAATTGAAAATAATTATTATTTTAGAGCACATCATATGTAAACTGCATTTTTTATAATTTTAGCCACGAGGTATGTTCATGACATAATGGATTCTGTAGTAGTGAGATTGTGTGCTATATATCGACCATCTTTTGAACGAGAACATGAAGAATATACCATAACCGCACAAATTTATCACGGAACAAAGAAAACAGGTAGATCTTTGTGCACCAAACCTACTAAAAAGCTAGAAAGGGATAAATATTGGCCAGCACGAATCGTTTTGGATAGTTGGTAAGTCAAAAGAAGCCGTTGAACCTAAATTGAATGTAATTTTTTCATTTATTTATATTATTACGTCGTCAAAGCCTTGTTTTAAAAAGTCCACCTTGTCTTGCAGGTTGGAATTCGAGGACGTACCTATAAACAGTTTAGCTCGAGAATCTCGTTTAGTTTTACAAATTTTTGGAAGAACGTTAGTTATGTCAGATGGTGAAGAGAACAAAAACTCGAACGCTCCCACATATAAGGAAGAAGAACTTGGTTGGGCGGCAGTCCAATTTTTTAACTATCAGAGGTAATATATCATAGTAGTAATCCTTATCATGTTTTTATTACCATATTTTCCTTCTTTATACCGTTTAAAAAATGTTGCTCTTTTTAGCACAATGATTCAAGGCACTTTACTGCTGTCGATATGGCCAAAAGAATCAAATTACATTAACGATCATATTTACGGACCGGCTCCAGCTATCGGTATCCATCCAGACCCGGATCATTCAGTTATTGGCATAGAAATCGTCACTCCTACTAAAATACAATTCCCCTCCATTTCTCCAGATTTATACAGTAACGTTACTAAAGGAGACTTTTCGAGTTTGGACAAAGAAACGCAACAACTGCTGGTAGACGCTTGCGATCAAGATTTGTTGTACAGGTTTTCACCGGAAATTCGTGAGGTAAAGCATATTTTGAAAATTGGTAGTAGAAAATTGGCAATTATGATTTATACGCCTTGTAGATATTATGGGAAAAACGTCACTACCTGTACCATCTCCCAACGGCTCTTCCAAAAGTTCTCCTAGCTGCCCATAGCTGGGAATACGTCCAACTTCCGGATCTACATGGGATGTTACACACTTGGACACGATTAAAGCCTATTCAAGCTTTGGAACTGCTCCTACCGGTGTACCCAGATTTAGAGGTTAGGAAAATGGCCGTCAGGTGGATAAGGGGGCTTACTAATGACGAACTGGTGGACTATTTACCTCAACTAGTTGTAGCGTTAAGGCACGAAACGTACGAGAATTCTCCGTTGGCTCAGTTTTTGTTAGACAGGGCCTTGAGATCGCCCAGATTCGCACATTATTTGTTTTGGTTGTTATGTCATAGTTTACCAGGAGATTCACCACAGGTAAATATCAACTTTTCTTTACACATTTTTTATCGCCAACACATACAGTGTACCTAATTTAAAAGAGAATATCATTAATCCGGAAAGATCGAGAAATACTCTTAAAACTTAAAATTGAGTTATACACAGGTGTTAATTTATGCATTTACAATTTCTAAATGCGTTGGAGAAAGAAGATATATTTATTTTTTATTCTTCATTAATTTTTTAGAACTGTACTTCGGAAGTAAGACATAAAGAAGTTGTAGAAATAGGTATTAGTGAATTTAGACACCACAGAAGACTGAAATTATTATTAAGGGCTCTATTAGCAATATGCGGCAAATCGTTAGGCGATTGCTTTTTATATCAACAGTCTTTAGTTAAGGTAAGCAGTACTTGTGACAAAACCATTACCATCTTATGAATAACGTTTTGTTTTAGAAACTAAATGACATAGCCGAAGAAGTACAAAAAACCAAAGAATCGCATCGTTTAACTGTCTTACACAACGCCTTAGGCCAAATCCATAAAGACCTCCAGGAAACCCCTACTAGTTTACCCCTTTCGCCGACACTTAGAGTCAAAGGGGTCGACATACAATCTTGCTCTTACTTTCCTTCGAACACTCTACCTCTAAAGATTAACTTTTGGATGGAAGACAGTTCGATAAGAGCGGCTATTTATAAAGTCGGAGACGATTTGCAGCAAGATATGTTGACGTTGCAAATGATCAGACTGATGGATAAGTTGTGGTTGAGTAGGGGATTGGATTTGAAGATGGTCGCGTTCACTTGCATTCCCACGTCTAGACGAAAAGGTTTGTAAAAGAATCAAAATTGTTTCATCAGTCATTAAATCAAAATATTATGCTTTATTGTCGAAGAAATAAATCTGAACACTGATATTTTATATTATACATGATATTAAAAATAAAAGTAACAGAAATTAAATTAAAAAAATAATACAAAATAAATAATAAACATATAAAATACAAAATAAAAAAATTCAAATATGTATAAAACAAATGTTAATTCAGTTATTAAAGATAAACAAAACCATAAACCTTGCATAGATATTTATGTGCTCCCCAACTTTTTTAATTTTAAGGAATGATTGAAATGGTAACCAAAGCAGATACGCTGAGAAAAATCCAAGTCGAACACGGTTTAACCGGTTCATTTAAAGACAAACCAATCGCGGAATGGTTAGCCAAACACAATCCATCAGAGTTGGAATATACCAGAGCCGTACAAAATTTCACAGGTATGCAATACAATTTTTTTTTAAATTTTGAAAATTCATAAATAAATTCCCATTACCTACTAAATTATGAAATTTACTGCCAAACCTCCAAAGTGTAAAACAACCAGTTGAAAATAAAAAACAAAAGTTAATTTGCCCCAAACTGGATTCGAACCAGCTATATCTATCGTTCCCACTCAATTATCAGGATGACAAATGTTCTGAGTTCTATACATTAACTTGGTATATACGAGGGCTGTTTCTTCTTCAATCCCCGATAGGTTATAAAGGAAAGACGGTTGAATATAAAAAGATGATTTTATTACCAAAAGTAATGTACAATAAAGGTGACTTCTCTACATAATCACTTGACGGTTGAGGTATTTGTCATATCTGTGCACCAGCTTTGCAATACGCTCTTCATAAAATGTTGCCGCCAGTGACTTGTGATGGATTGTTTGAGCTCCTCGTCAGTTTGAAAGCTTTTCTCCCCCAAGCCACTTCTTCAGTTCAGGGAAAATATGTTAAGAGTGAGAATATAGGCCCTTTTGACTGACCTTAAAGTCCACTCTTAGCGGTAACCACGGGTTATATAGAGGGGCCCAATTTGTACTTAAATTGGCCTCTAGTAAACACACGGCTAGGGGGTTAAGTTCAGACGAGATGGGCGTAAGGAACCCTAACTTCCTGACGATGATTCAGAGGGCGGGGAAAGGGTTTGCCCACTATTCCCTTTGGCAGTATCTTCCTCTCTCAGAGATCTGACTAAGCCAATACCCCCACCTTTGAATGATCGTGAGTTTTCATCAACCAAAAAATTGAAACAACAAGCGTAAAACAAATAACTATAACTTATTTAACAAATATAAAAACTAGTATTGCTTCCGCAATTCAGTAGTCTTTGCTGACTACACAAAATTAAATATTACTACTTAAAACTACTTACTTACATGAACATTATATTCTAATCCGTTAGGCTGCAGGGCTGGCTGAAGCACACGTTACTTTTCCCACTATGTGGCTTTACAAAAAAACTAACCGCGATTTGCGTGACCGACCCGTGATTCTACCTTCCGACATCGACATCAAAAATAAAAAAAAAAAAACTTAGTACGAATGATTACGACCGCTCGTCGACAAAAACCAAAAGGAACTCCCCGAAAATTCACTTGTAATTTTCCAAGAATGCTCTAGTTGATCTTTCTTGACCCTGTACTCTAATATTATGATTTAATAAAACCTTGTCCAACTACACCACGTTTTATTATTTTATTGAAAATCTATTTAGCGCGCCTGCCCTTGGACAAAACTTTACAAATCATAACATACCTATTCATAGGGTGTTATATTTATTCGTAACAATATTGTAGTCACTCGGCGCTAGGTCGGAACTATATGGTGGGTGTTCAAAAAGGTCCCATTGAAATTGCTCAAGGAGCCTTTGGGTTACACGAGCGCTAGAGGATGGACATTGTCATAGATGAGAACAATAACTCTCCGTAAGCTCCCTCCAAACACTCTATTCATTATTCGATGAATTTCCGCTGCACTATTCCCTTCTGCCTGCAAGAAATGAATACCAATTCGAAATTCACACTTGGCGGGAGAATCAATACAGAGAGCCATGTTTACGTGATTGCAGCTCAATAAAAAATGGCGTAGTGACAGAGTGTGTTGAAGGGAAGAGGCGCAGTCACCTACTACGCACCTAGCTACCTGCCGCATATCTGCCCTTTATACTGAGGTTGAAAAAAAAAACAGCCCTCCATCAGGCTTTTCTGAACAAATTGATGTATCGAACTCAGGATGCTTGTCGTCTTTCCATAAGTTTGTGTCACTTTGCAGGGGTTTGGTGATAAATTTCATAATTGGAGAAATTTGGGAATTTATTTCTGCACTTTGTTTTTTATCACAAAATATGTGTCTCTTTTCTTTTAGCATCGTGCGCCGGTTATTGTGTGATAACTTATATTTTGGGTATCGGCGATAGACACAACGACAATATTATGTTAAAAACCTCCGGACATCTATTCCATATCGATTTTGGAAAGTTTTTGGGCGACGCGCAAATGTTTGGAAACTTCAAAAGGTACTTTATTTCGCGCAAAAGCTTTCTTTTCTTCTTTTTCTTTCGCGAATTAATATAATATCGTTATAAAATTCGTTTCAGGGATAGAGCGCCTTTTGTTTTGACATCTGACATGGCGTATGTCATAAATGGGGGAGACAGGCCGACCGAGAAGTTTCATCAGTTCGTCGATTTGTGCTGTCAAGCGTTCAATATCATTAGAAATAATAGGAATTTATTTTTATTTTTGGTAATATATTTTTTTAATAAATATTATGTAAATATACTAAAGTTCCTATTGCATATCTGGTAAACAATTTTGGAATATTATATATAAAATTTACTTAAATATTTTAAAATTATTAAGCAAAAACAAAAAAAATGTCGAATTCAAAAATAAACATTATTTTCTACCCAATTTTAAATAAAAGCAATTGATTATTTTTTTATTCACACTATACATTGTGTGACGTTCAATGACTGTATAAATAAATTTTTTTATTTTAGATAACCTCATCTGGTATATGCAGGATAACGCCTGAGTCGATTAGTTACATGCACAAAGCGTTGTTGCCGGAGTTATCGAATCCCGAAGCAGCTGCTTATTTTACTCGTCTTATAGAAGAATCTCTAAAAACTCGCTTTACGCAATTCAACTTTTTCTTACACAATTTAGCCCAACTTAAATTCACAGCGGAGAATAATGAAGGGTCGTTGCTGTCATTCGTTCCGAAGACCTACAGGTAAGATTTATATGTATAAAGGATTTAAAAAAATTCCAATTTTTTGAGCGAGTTTTAGAGCAATACAGTAATAATAATACTAATAATAATAAATGTCTTTATTACCATATAACTCTATTCTCTAAGATGTTGTTGAAATACAATGTTAATAGTAAATCATTAATATTTAGGTTCTTCTCCTTGAATGGTCACAAATGTTGTTTTGAAACAAATAGCAATAATTGAAGGAGTAATTAAATTTACTGGTGGCTTGTGCCTTAACACTCAGGTGGTGCCAGGTCAGTGTATCACGTACACCACAGGTGCCCCACCGGAGACAAAAAAAATTGGGTGCCATTATCAAATTTTGATCACCCCCAAACAAAATATGCTGGGAACTATAGTGGCGAAACTCAAAAATCGTTATTTTGAATTAATTGCGTTTGAAGTGTTACTAAAACTGTTAAGTATAATAACTTGCTAAGAGCTCGTCACTTTTTTTTTTAATTTGTACTTTAAGCTTATTTACTTTCTGTCTCTGATTAAACACACGATTGCGAAATCACGTGTTTAATTTAACCAAATTACTTAATCATGATTAAGCATTATTGAATCTTTACTACCATTTTAGCACCTGCTTTGTAAATCGGATTTTAATATAATATGTTGGCAGCACCGAAGTTGTAAAATAGTTTAGATTGTTCGCGAAACAAGAAGTGGTAGTTCAATTAAATATTTATTTGATCGGTTCAGTTGACACTGGTTCCTTTTTTTATGGATATAAGGGTATATTGAGTTAAAATTAACCCCCTGGGTTATACAAATAACCAGATGTCATTTTTAATTTTGTATTCTGTACTATTTGGTTAAAATTATAACTTATGTCAGTCAATAAATCCCATGACGTTCATTAACGTCATGATAGTTCTTTCCCCCATGCCCATGACGTTTTGTAACGTCATTTGAAGATGTATGATTCGATGAATGTAGACAAGTCGCTATGCAGTAAATTGTCTTTATAACCCCGTAGGTATGTAAAAACGAATTTGGTTTTGATATTTTATTTGTGAATTTAACATAGCAAGGGTTTAACCAGTTCTAATTAAATGATGTACCTAATTGCTCGATATTTCAATTTGTGGCATAGACACGCAAACAAATATGTATTTGTTAAATGGAACACTGTATTTTATCTCAGTTGTAGAGCTCTTAGAGAATACTGTATTAAACCCTAGAATATTTTTAAAAAATATTACAGGGTTGCCAAGCAATACATTTTTTGTGATATAAAATGATACAGACACCAAATAAAATTATCACAATTTAAGTAGCTTAGCAATGAGTTGAACATTATTTAAAATACAGGCTTATAGGATACCAAACTAACGAATAGACATGATAGAACTAGTTTATTATACATTTATCTATCTAACCACACCATAATATTAGCCTATTATACATATACATGGTATCTCATCAGACTTCCTTTTAAACTACTCTTGATTGTTTTTCACTCCCCGCCTTGAATGGTCCACTTTTCCCTACAAGATTTCGACATGGTGTCTGCAGCTTCATTGGCTAATTGTACCACCATTTGGATACCCTACTTCTTTCGATTTATTAATTTCTAATTTATTCCACTTCCCAGATAGGCTTCCGAGAACTTATAGTCTCGGGTCAACCATTCATGAAGTCAATTTGATCGGTAAATGAATGTATAGGTGGACCGTCAGCCAGCGGCCCGGTAATATACTTCTTTGACATCAGTACTTGATATCCTACAGAGGTCTATATTCTTTTCCCTTTTTGTGTTAACTTCTGTCTGTATTTATAATCACCCTGTATATATATATATATATATATATATATATATATATAATAGCTATTCCCCAGAATACATTTTTAATCTTCATTGTGTATGGCCCAAGACGTTAATGAACGTCCAAACTTTTAAATGTTCGTATACCGATGGGCCAGAGCGTGTAGTTGGCATTAAAGTTTGGGCAGAGAAAGCGTTAAAAAATTTAGTTGTGCAGTAATGACATAAATCTAATATAATGCAACTATTTTTAAGTAACGAACACTTCTGCAATGCAACAACGACACAAACCAACATAAACTTCAAGTGCATCAACAAAAGCTTACCTTATTTATGGCATATACAGCGAAACTTCTGTTTGCGATACTACCGTCTTGAATTATCGCACATCTATTGAGGCACTATTGTGTAAAATACGCATTCGTCAGTATTTCTTTGTCTCCTCAGAGAAAAATATGCTACATATGTGCAACAGCGACGTAACTAACAACTCGCCACAACTGATATAAACTCTTCTCTATTTACTAAACTTAAGCTCACTAATGTGATATCGTCATTATTGCACATGTATGTGCTTCGTTTTTTTCCTACTACAATGACATACGCTGTCACATTTATGCAAAATCTTCAGAGCATTCATTGCCTGGAGATATATCCCAGCAATATGGCCAAAAGCCAAAATCATATCGCCCCATAAGCCTATCCTCCTTCCTACTTAAAAGTCTAGAAAGATTGATAGATAGGTATATCAGGGTAACCAAAACTGCGCAGGCAAGCGCAGTAGGCCAACTCACTGGCATTCAGCGGCTTGCCTGTCTAAGTGTTACTGGGGCAATGCGCACTACGCCAACTGCAGCAATGGGGGTATTATTAAATCTCACGTCACTGCACATCTTCATACAAGGAAAAACAAGTTCAGCTATTCACAGGCTATAATACAGAGACAAAACCCTATAAGCCAACTACACTGCGCCGACCACCTAATGCTATATCAGCAAGTAAAAAGGGATAATATTCTAGCTATGTCTACTGATAGAGCCATAACCACATACAAATTTGAAAGAAATTTTCAAATTCAATTACCAGCCCGACGAGAATCCTGGAAACAGGGACCTCCCGTACAGGCTGAACTCGTCTGGCACACAGACAGTTCAAAAACCAAGGAAGGAGTCGGTGCTGGAATCTATGGACCCAAGTCGAAAACAACGGTTTCACTGAGTTTACGATAATATGCAACAGTGTTCCAGGCTGAACTAATAGCCATACAACACTGTGCAAGAGAAATATAAAATCAGCAAGTATCGGGCAAAACTATTGCCATATACTCTGATAGCCAAACAATTCTCTCATCAGAAATCAAATCACGAGTGGTGAAAGACTGTCTAGAAGACCTGGCAGAGCTAAGTAGTCAAAACTAGGTGACCCTAGACTGGGTGCCAGACCATGAGTGATATCAGGGCAACGAAAAGGCCGACGAATTAGCCCGAGAAGGCTCGGATAAGGCCATGACAGGCTCCGAACCCTTCTGTGGAGTTGCTAAGGCTTGTGCAAGGTATCCATTAAACAATGGATGCAAAAAAGAGTCTCAGGAATGGTGGAACAACTATCTGAGACTGAGACAAGCCAAACAGTTCACCAAGGAACCTTCGTCCAAGTTCACGAAAGACCTACTAGATCAAAAGCGTCCAATCGTTAGGATAACAGTAGGCCTTCTTACTGGACACTGTCGCCTCAAAAGGCACGAGTGTCATCAGTCCAGCAGAAGAAGCAACTTTCTGCAGGTTCTTTGAAGAAGAAGAGGAAACATCATTCCACGTCCTGTGCCAATGCGAATGCCTGGCTGGAATGAGGTTTCTAATATTGGGCTAAGAAAAGCCAATAAAAAAGACCAAGCTAGACGACAATAGATCTGAAAAGGTCGCGGTAGACAAGGACAAATAATGTCCAACTCCTTTAAAATCTAATCTACTCTGTCAACTACGAGTAAGGAAGTGAAACACCTTTTGTCTCTATTGTTGAATATCGAAATAAGTAGACAGTAATCTAATGTGAAGAATGTTGTCATATATCATTGTGCCAAACTTTGAAAACATTTTTGGAGGTTACTGGGATTTTTTCCAGTTCTGGGCAAGTATTGGAATTGCATATATGGCACCTCTGTCAGGATTCGTCACACATTCTTGGCATTAATGGACTTAAAAATTTTGATTTCTGAGTCTCGTCACTATTGTTCTCAGCAAATAATATATTCTTGTCACTTTTAATATGTATTTCAATAACATCCTGTATATCAGAGATCTTACAAAAATCAGTATATTACTTCGTTTAGTACATAACTGGTTTATAATAATACTAATATTAAGCAATTTTTTTCTTGTTTTGTAGCCTGGCCACAGACGGTCAATTAGTTCATGTTGAGGTAGTCAACTACAGAAAAAGATACGATCCTGATAAATATTACGTGTATATTCTTAGAGTGTATAGAAAGGATCAGAACCAACCTATGGAAATACAAAGGACTTACAAAGAATTCTGCGAGTTACATCAGAAGTTATGCATTTACTTTCCTCTAGCGAAGTTACACAGGTAAATTTTTTATTTATGATTTATTTTTTTAGTAAATATTTACATACAAAAATAATTATCTCTATCTAACTAAATATATTCTTGATTTTTATCTATAATAATTTAGTATTTGAGATAAAAATACAACTGCTTAAGGCAAGGCCCATTACCTTAACAAGTTTTTTAATAAAAAAAGATAATGTAAATAATAAAATATAAAACTATTATATATAAAAAAACAATCCTGTTACTAAAAACAAATTTAAAAAATTTGTAATACCTAATAAAAATTGTTCCTCTATTAAAAAAAAAATATAACGTTGGAATAAAATTGCTATCAGTATTAATCAGAGTACAATACTTTTGTAGTAGCTATGTAGAAACTTTCTGTAGTTCACACGAAATCGTACAGATACTTTTCTTGGTGCTCTTAGACTAGGAAAGAGAAGGGACGCTTGACTTCTATATCAGACGCTGAGGATTGCGACTAAATAACGATCGGCCGCCATTTTTTTGGTGTCAGGCCTGGTATCATTTATCTTGAGCTTTTTTACATAAAGTTAAAGACAGTGTTATTATTACAATAGTAGTGTGTTCAGCTTATGGTTGTAAAAGATGACATGAGAAATGTAATAAGGAATTACATTTCACAGGTAAAATATATAATTCAAGTAAATAACACAACTATAAAACTAGAAATATTTTTAAACTGGTCAATATTTCAAATGAATCCTAATATGATCTAAAAAATAATTTATCAAAATTTGAGAGTAAACAGTTGATATTTTCATTCATTAAAATCCGAGAATACCGATCAAGGAGAAGCGACAGCTTGGTGTTTTCAGTGTACCGTTTTGTAACGCGCATGTGCGAAACTAAGTTGTGTCACTCAAAATTATGTTATCTGTCAAAGTCAGTCCAAGTGTGTTTAGTACGTGAGCAATGTTATGTGATATTTTTTAGTGTTTGTTTTGTGTAGTAATAAGATGAAGATTTTTACACACTTAGGTATTCTAATACAGATATAAAATGTGCCAAAAAAGTTATTAGGAAACTAAGAATTTTATCACATGCATAAATATTAAGTATGATTTAATCATTTTTGACATTTTATTTTTCATATGTAGGTATTGTATTTTGTGAAATATATGTTTTTCTTCTTATAAATAAATTTAATAAACAATGAACTGCAGATTTTGTTTATTTTATTTTGAAATTATATTTAAAAAAATATAATAAATTCGCGTTTCAATTAGGATTGGTCAAAGTGGGCGAAATCCCTTTATTATGGCTAAATTGTAAGTTACAATTATGTCAATATAAAGATGTATTGCCCATTCATATTTACATTTATTGAATGAATTTTGGAAATATTGGTGCATACTTAAATAAGTACTATTTCTAAAAATTCGTCTATGCACACATAGTCCAATGGACGTCCACTTTAAATCTATTTGAGGGTCAGGACGTCCATATCCGGGCATCCAGTGTACGTCCGTTTATGCTAATTAAATGGACAGCGGAATATCGATACCCAGAGAACGTCTCTTTTTGGACTTAATTTTAAGTTTAGTGGTATTTTGACGTCCATTTTAGGTCATTATTTATTAAGCCTACCAGATAATACCCATCTATATATACTTGTTTTTTTTTAATATAACTGGTCATTAAAAATTGACAAATTGAATCTATTGCATTTAATTCTATCAGCGGAAGTTTGAAATCTTATTCAATTATAACTGTATCTAGTAAAAAGTTTTCAAGTGGTTCCTTGGTCGAGCTCGTCTAGCGATTGAAAGCGTAAAACGATAATGGATGTGTCGTGAGTTCGATTCCTGCTCAGGTCAAGCAATTTTTAATAAAAAATAAATAAATGGTGTATAGCGGTTTGCGAAAATAATAAACAAATTATTATTAATAATATAAAATAGTGTTTGGTGAGTTGCGGTTCTGTAAAAAAAAATGGGGATGTGGTCTCAATGGAAATATAATCCTGGACGTTTTTTGAATGTCCAGTATTTGACGTCCAAATATATTCCAGAATTGGACGTCCTCTGAATGGTCAAAAGTGTGCCATTTGTATACTTCACTGGACGTCCATTGGATGTCGGAAGTCCAGGAAACTCATGTTTGGACGTCTAGACATCCAAAATTGTATATCGAATGGACGTCCAATGGACATATTTGTATTGTCTGGGTGATAGCCAGGCCAGGTAATTAACTCTAAATACATAAACCTTAAATGACATCTCGTTTAACTTGGCGAGAAAACATTTGTTTCTACAGAAATGAGTGATAAACTTGAAAGTCCTTTTAATATAATATAAATCTAGAAATTCTAAAAATATGTAAGTACTTTTTAAACCTAAAAGATTTGAAAATATATGCACATTGCAAATATTTAGTCAAACCTCTCAAACTTAATGTATTTTTAATTGTTACCTAATTTTTTTTTGGCACCCTTAATTTTATTTACCTTATTTTTACTTAAGGAAAAGGTAATTTAATTTAAATATGGGGCTTTTATTACATTTTTAACAATAAATAAACCAAATATTGAACAAATTTTATAGATAAATTATAAAATAATAAACGTCTTTTACTTTTATAACAAATAATTAATTATTACATAATGAATTATATTTTGATGCCGAAATTTCACCATTGCTATTAACGCTAACTTCTTCAATGTAATTAAATCACATTGCAACATTTGCGCATGGACTATAACAATAATTTCAGATAATTTGCCAAACTATTTCGCTCAGTGTAGAAAATAAGCATGTTTTCTCAGCGTGCTAAGTTGTGCATCAATCAAAGTCATGCTGTGAAAAAGGTACATCCGATATCAAAGGCACCGACAGCTACTGTCGCTTCTCCTTGATCGGTATTCTCGGTTAAAATCTTAAAAATGCCGAATAATATAGCATATTAAATAAAAATGAGATATACTTACTAGCATTTTAAGTATCTACCTATATGTTAAAAATAAAAAAAATGATGCAAAAAAATTAATCGTATTTATTTATTATATAGTGAAAAATCGGTTTTAAATTTAGAAAACTTATCGGTCATAGATCCGAAAACAAAGATATTAAATTCTCTGTAAGTCCCAAATAAATTACAAAACGAAATAATGAAAATGTAAAAACAAATTTATTGAAAAATTGAAAAAAATTCTATCCACAGGGGATTCGTGAGTAGAACACGAATATGTGGGTTCGAAAATATCGATGAGTTACGGGTCACTTGCCCCAGTTTTTGTGCAAAAGAGTAGAACGTAGTTAGAGAGCTCCTGCTAACTACTGTAACGTTGCGAATTAGGCAATCCAAACAAATGAAACGCGGTGCTAAGGTTTAGTATGTCTAAAGGATTGCGACATACGATGTAGTCTATCTACAATACGTAAAATCATAAATAATGGATTAAATTTAATTATTTAATGTTGAACACAATGAAAATATTATTTTTTTTATTGGTACCCTATTTTACTTATTTAAAGTACGCCTCAGCGTGTTTAAAACGAACGTTAAAAAACGCGCGCGTTTTAAAGTTACCATGGCAACAACAACCCGAGAAACGTGATGTCTAAATGCCAACTTTTTAAATATTGATCTGCCTTGTAATGTCAAATAAAATATTTCTGAGAAATTTTTCAAAAAATTTATTCAATCGCACAATTCACATCTTCTTCAAGAGCCAAAGATGCCACAAATAGCAACCATCTTCAAAAATAAATACGTAATGTCCGGTGCATCTGTAAAAAACTTCCGCAAATCGTCTTCCTCGAATACATATGCCTTCTTGACTACCTCATTTTTGCTAATTGCCTTCATGAATGCATGTACTTTGACGAACGATTTTATATCGACCCCTTTGTTTATCCTCAACATACTTTGTAATTTTGAATGGATAGTCCACATAGTCGATACTTTATACTGTTCCGACATTTTCTGAAGATAAGCGAGAACAACTCGTTCATCTATATGTGTAACCATTTGCTCTTCCATCCACGTGTTGAATTTATCGTATTCTTTTTTATAAACCGCTTCGGATTTTTGTGGTATTAAGCGCGATTCTGCTTTATTATTTAAATACTCAATATTTAAACTCATTTTAAACAATAACAACTTTTGCGACAATTAATCTTACGTGACAGATTGAAAATAAATTTTTGTTTGTCTCATTTTCATGACAACAAGGTATACTGATGTTACATCACAAATTCAACCATTTTCAGTCATTAGTTCTTATTTCCATTTTTTTGTAGAAATAATACCAATAAAAAAAAATAGCGTAAAGTATTCGCGGATAACTGGTCTTTAAAACACTTGCTCTATTTCGAGCACTCCGGCTGCGCCGTCGTGCTCGAAAAATCGCGCGTGTTTTAAAGACCGTTATATCCACTTATACTTTAATATACTATTATTTTCTATACATTGGCAGACTTGGCGACTACTATTTAAAATAAAAATAGCGCCGAAGATGGAAGGATATGTTACAACCACTATTAATTTACGACTGATAAAATTTGATATCCGATCAAATTTTTTTGTGATTTAATTTATTTATATTTTAATATTTTGTTTTATAATCTTTTGAAAAATATCTATTTTTTAATTAATTTAATATCTTTGATTTCAGATCTATTACTGCTAAGTTTTCGGAACTTTAGAAACTGATGTTTCACTATGTAATAAATAAATATGACATTTGTTTATTTTTCTTATATAGGTAGGTACTTAAACTGCAAATAAGTTTAAGAATCTCATTTTTATTTTTAAATAACGTTATTAAAATAAGCATATAAATGAATTCACTGATCTGTTCGAAGATTTAGTTTTTTTTTGTGTAATTTCATTTTTTTACTCCCTCTATAAAAGAGAAGTAATATAATCGTGAAAAAGTCACCTTACGAGATTATTTCAGATTTTCACGTTGGTCTGTCTGTTGGCACAATAGCTCAAAAACGGCTTTATAGAAAAAACTTCAAATTTTGTATGCAGATAAGGTTTCTTTC